ATGTGTTTCAAGTTAACATCTTTCCGAAATCGATTTTAATCGAATGAAAGATTAAAATCATCATCACCTCTTAGTGCTAGCTCGATCGTAACAATATCCTCATCACCGTAGATAGATTTCATGAAAGAAAAATTTTAAGTCTCACCAAGTGGGTATAGCAAAAAAGCATCTAGGATAGGATAAACTACATATTAGTATAGTTAAGATTATAGAATTTATTATAAGAATTCTTCACATAAAATTTGGGTTAAAACCGATGAAGTTTAACTGCTTAATCCTCTAGCAAAAGCCTCAAAACTTTAACTTTCTCTCTTATCTTCTGTCGTTGTTCTTTTTCTATGTCATCATAGTTTCCATCATTGGTATGCCTTTTCTAACCTATGGGCAACAAATATATTATCTATTTCATGCTGCCCCCCGAGAGGAGATAAGGTTTAGTGAATATTGCTAACATGAGATGACAAGTATGGTATTCTAGAATGATATTTCTCCTTAGATCATTTTCTCCACCAAACTATTCCTAACCCAATGAAATGAAAAAGGCATGTATTGGTGAGGCCTTGATGTATAAGAAGCCAATTTGGTCGATCCACGTATGTATTGCTAGATAAGTTTTGTTTTATTTTTTTTTTCCTTCTGTTCAATATAGGTTGACTAGAAAGAAAAGGTCTAACTTGAAAGGATTTGATTGAGGTATGAATTGGGCTATTTCTCATGAGATGAATTTAGTGTTTACCATTTAGTAATAATCATCTTCTTATAATACTAGCACTCCAAATTATAAAAATAATGAATTTCATATACTTTTGTGCTCTCTCTTTTCTCTATGTTAAATGATGTAAGATTGGAATTCAATTTTTCATTAAATGAATGCAAGAGACAAAGTCTATTTATAAATATTTGAGAGATTGGAGTGAAAAGCCATGTTCGTTCGGTTGAAAGGTTTTGCCTATTTGAGTGAAAAATATTGTCTAGTAGGGTGAAAGGTCATGTCTATTTAAGTAAAATTTTCTTCATTTATTTGAAAATTATTTTAATCTATCATTTCTAACAATCCTTTATATGAATGAAAATTATCTAATAAAATACACATGAATATGCAACACTAAAGAAAATATATGTGAGAGGATATTGGAGGTAGTTTATGGCTTTAAACTTTTCTTAGTGGAATACTATCATATTTACTTGGCTAATTAGCGAATATGATATCTTGAACTATTCAGTCGTTCATATAAACCAAGATAATAGTACTTGTAAATTTTTTTTCCCTCACACCTTAAGGTTCTTATAGTTGTATTCATTTTGGCGTTGAACATAAGTGCTCTAGAGAATTTTAGCCTTAAAAATTTTTATAGAAGCAACCCAACTTCACACTTATATTTGTGACTTCCTATTAAGAGTATCCTACCATACCTCACTTGGATATAGGAATTATTCAAGGTATAACTTATCCTAATACACTCTACATGTAGTACTTGTTTATCATAAAAATGAGTTGGAGTAGTCTCTCAAGTGCTTATACTGAATCTTTCCTAACATTGTTATCCAATTGAACTAAGATCTTTGAGATCTCCAATCAATAAGGTTGGGTTACCATTATAAAGATTTTTATTTGATAGACTTTAATCTCATTCTTCTCGATAAGCAGTACCACTTGATCTTTTGATAGCCCTTTAGTGAGCGAATCTATAAATGTCTCCTTTGATTTCACAAAATCAATAGAGATGATACCATTTGAGATCAACTATTTATTGTCTTATGTCTTCGACAAATATGTTGAGACGTACTACTTTTTATCTTTCCAATAGTCGACTAACTATCACAATGTATGTCTGTTGTAGGCAGAGGTTTAGTCTAACAAGAAATGTCCTTTAAAAAATTTTGAAGTCATTCTGCTTTCTCTTATCTAAAGTGATAAACTCATCCATCATTGATTTACTTATGCATATTTGCTTAAATGACTTGCACGACATGACAGCTCTTCCAATGGTGCAAACATATACTCTAGTGGATTTAGAATCCTTCGTGTCAAATATCCAGTTTGTATTATATATTTCTAATATAGTTAAATATTTCATATAATATAATTTATAATTTAGGATATATCTTAGATACATAAGAATCCTAATTAATGCCTTCGAATAGTAATCTCCTAGATTATTTGTAAATCTATTTACTTTATTGATAACATATATTATATCTAGACGCGTATAATTCATTACATACATTAGGCTATCTTTGATGCAGGATTACTCCAATTGTGAAATGAGTTCACCAATATTTTTGACTAAGTATAGATTTAAATATATTAGATTTAACTATACTATCATCATACACATTAAATATTTTTAATATAGTTTCAATATAATAAGACTATAACAGCACAAGTTCTTTAAATGTCTTAGAGATGTTAATCCCTAAGATGATATCTGTCTCATTCATATCCTTCATATCAAAATATTTTATTAGTTAATATGATAATATTATGATTCCTTCTCATAATTAGTATATCATCAATATATAAGTATATTATCAACATCATAATCTTAATCTCTAGGTTGACATATGCCTCACCTATAATTAGTATATCTTCAACGTATAAATGCGACATAACAATTTAGAGTATTTTTGATATAAATATATTTATCACACCCATTAATTTTAAAATCATTTAATAGAATAGTTTTATCAAGATTTTCTTATCTAGGTGCTTGTTTTAATCTATATAAAGATTTAATAAATTTACAAATTGTCTTCTCATGTCTAAGAGCCATAAACCCCTCGGCTTGTTTCATATAAAATTCTTCTTTTAATTCATCATTTAAGAACGTCGCGTGAACATTCATTTGATGAATTTTAATAATATGTAATGTTGTGATTATAATTAATATTTTAATTGACATTATCCTTATAACTAGTGAATATATGCTGAGAAAGTCAAGGGGCTACCAGCTTTATACTTATTAATTAATCCATCAATTTTTAGTTTCCTCTTGAACATCCATTTATAACTTAAAAGCTTATTTTCAGATACATGATACACAAACTCTTATTTATAGCCTCTTTCCAAGATGGAGCTTCCAACATCGACATAGTTTTATTATATATATTGAGTTCATTAACTAATAAAAAGGTTAGAAAATCTAAACCAAAAGACTCAAATGTCTTGGCCTTTTTACTATGTCTTGGTTCCTCATCACTTGGATGACTATCACGTGTATCATAAGTTTATTTCTATGAACTTATTTCTTTCTTCTCTTTACAAGGAAAGATATCTTAAAAAAAATAATGTTCCTTAATTCAAGAATTATATTATCACTACATTACGAATGTTTGACTTGTGCATAAGAAAACCATGTCCGCTGCTCTTATAAACATATCTAATAAATATGCAATCAGCTACTTTAGACCTAGCTTTGACTTACTTAGGCTAAGGTACTTCTACCTTAGCTAAAAATCCTCACACTTACAAAAGGTTTATAATTTTTCATTCTCATTAATATTATAGTTTACTAAGAGAATTGATTCCCCCTCGTGTAAGAAATATATCATTCATCAACTCTTTATGAACTCTTTATGAGTTCAACTCTTGCGTTAAGTAATATAAGTTGATTGATACATATATCATTCATCAACTCTTTATGAACTCTTCGTGAGTTCGACTCTTGTGTTCAGTAATATAAGTTGACTGAGATGCATCTATTAAAGTTTATGGTTTTATGCGCTTCTTCAGGTACATATAACTTATCCCAAAATCTACCTACACTCTTCAACAATTTAAAAATCCTTTCTTTTTTCTACCTTAATCATACCATAATTGGTTTAAATAAGGATCCTTAGCTTATAACTCTTTATTTTTTTTAATAATATTGGTTCTAGTAAGTAGTTTCCCAATTAAACTTTTAAGAATCATATTTAATCTAAACTTTCACATTTCCATATAGAGAGGCTTTTGAACTGTGGATAAAGTAGAATGATTAGTTGAGTTTCCACTTAAAGCATCAACAATTATATTTGCTTTCTAGTTTGTTAATTAATAAGACAATCATAATCCCTTACTAATTTCAACTATCTCTTTTGTCTCGTATTCAACTTTATATCAGTGAGAAAGAATTTTAAACTCTTGTGATCAATGTAGATTATATATTTCTCACCATAAAATAATAACATAAATTTAAAACTACTAAATCAAAATTAGATAATTTTTCTCATAATCCTTTAATTATTATAAGGCATAATCTATAACTCTATCATTTTGCATCAACAAACATCCTAGGCTATATTGGATATATCAATATACCTTATGAATTCTCCTAACTTCAATTATATAACAAGAATTGAAACTAAAGTCAATCTCTTTTTCAATTAATAGAGATTATTCTCTTAAACATTTGCCCATTCAAATTTAATAT